CCCCAAAACCCCAAAACCCCAAAACCCCAAAACCCCAAAAATTAATTTTTTGCTGAATCATGGCATAAATTATATATACTTATCAGGTATAATAATTCCCAATGTTTTTGCACAAGAAAAAGAAGAAGCCTAAGATCAAACTATCAAGGAACAACATCCTCATGGAGAAGATCTTCATGAAGACAGATAAAGAGAGAAATGTGTTTGAGAAGACCCATGATGTTTATACAAGAAAGGAGCTTGGCAAGTCCTCATCAATGCATGAGCTTGAGTCAAGGCTGTACTGTCTTAACTGCCCGGTAGAGGTCAAGGAGATTCGGAGGGACGTCAAAGGCATGCGAAGAAACATTTTTGGAGTCCTTAACTCGGATAATGTGTTTAACCCTGAAGGATATGCTAGCTATAACTTCTATGTGTAAGCCAGTCAACTTTCTAATTCTGTAGCAACCATATTGATAAGTTAAAAATGGCTGATAAATAAAGATTACGAAATTATGCATGCTGAAATGAAGGAAAAGGAATACCAGAAGATGCTAAAGCAAAGCCTTTCCAAGAAATAAAATGAACAGACTCTATGAAAGCCAGGTTAAGTACCTCAAATCAGTTGTTGAGTCTGGAGGAAAAATACAGAAGGATAAAACAGACCTATTCAGACTTCTAGTACTCAAAGATGATCCGTTGAAAATCGGCGAAAATATGCTTAAAGAGAGCCCGTTTTATCCAAAAATTAAGGACAAGGTATCCTTCTCACCAAGGCAAAGAAAGAAGAGCAAAAAGTATGATGAGATGGAAGAGAGAAGAATGAGATATGAGTCTAAAATGGAAGGGAAACTCATCTCACAAGCTGCTAAGAAATTCAATATTCATCTTCACAGTCAGAACTTGTTAAAAGAAAATGGGCTATATTTAAGTAAACTTCCAATTCAGCATATTTAGATAAGCTCAATGACCAAATCAACAAGAAGCTGGCGTATTATCTATCGGATCGGAAGTCTACAAAGAGAGTAAAAAGATTTGCCCAGAGCAATACTTTCTCTAAAGAGGATTCATTTGCCGAGACCTCCTCTGATGGCAGCCATGTAGCAGGTTCAAATATGAATAACTTTTCGATAAAAATGAGTAAATTACTATTTTATTTTAGGAAGAACAAAAAATCCCGTGAAGAAATAATTCACATATGGAGTCGATCATGAAGCAGAAAGGGACAAGAAGATCCTCGATGTAAGTAGGGGAGTAACTTTAGGCCCAAAACTATACAATTTTTAACCCCGGCTAAGAAGGAAGAGCAAAAACCGAGCCATTGCAAGAGTCAAGAGTAATTTTAGAACTGATCATTAGGAAAATCCAAAATAAAGAAACCTTAGCTCCTCCTTCTTCAGGAGCAAAGTAGGCTTTTATTGATAATTTTTTAGAGCTCGTAGAGAAAACTTTGTGAAAAGGAGTTCCCAGGCTGTCATTGGACATGTAGACTACCTTGTTTCTGGTAAAGTCTCTAAGAAAGAACTCAAGAGAAACTTAAGTGAGCATCTTCTCTAACTCTTAGTAAACTTTAAGGAATTTCTAAACTCTGCTTTACAAAGGAATGAATATTATACCACTCACTCAGCATCAGATAAGAGAACCTTATACCGAAAAGCAGGAAGTATGAACGGTTCAAAGTACTCAATGTCTGATTACTCCGGTACGTTCCCTTCTTACCGCCAATAGCGGCTAGTTTCAGGCTTGAATCACCAAAATCAAGGAGCAGGATGCTTAAGAGCCCTAAGACTCATCACTCAGACAGGTTTACCACAATATGTTCAATGTAAGTCATTTTTAGATAACTAGACAGTCCTAAAGAGTTGAAGCTCGATGAATCTAGCAAAGGTGAGATACTGTTTGATTATACTTAGGTATGCAGATGTTCAAGAGTAACCAGAAAAGTATCCGAGATATGATTAAAAAGAGTAAATAAAATCAAAATTAAGAATTCAATTATTAAGCAAAAAAGGGGTTTTGGGGTTTTGGGGTTTTGGGG